CAAACGCGAAAATTTGACCAATAAATTGGAGAACGGACAATGGGATGTAATTTGTGGATCTGAATACCACAAAGATCCAATTCCATGCGGAAAGTGATGATAAACTATTTGGGGCATCCCATTTTCAGACATATCTATATGTGCGTGTATATATATATATATATTAATCACTATATGACTACACGCAACTACACACAGCCTTGGCCCTTATCATGTTGGATGCTTGGGACTGGGGCACCAGGACCCAAGGAAGCAGGCACCCAGTGGCATCCAAAAAACACTTTGGTGAAATCCTCTTCTTCGGGGAAATTAAAGTTGGGTTATTGCAAATTTGCAATTCCCGAGAGCGTCTGAGCGCAGGGTTCTTCCAATAGTGGGGGTCTGTAAAACATCTTCTCATCTTCACATCTCATCTTCACATCCTCTCATCTTCACATCTCATCTTCACATCCTCTCATCTTCACATCTTTTCATCTTTACATCCTCTCATCTTCACATCCTCTCATCTTCACATCTTTTCATCTTTACATCCTCTCATCTTCACATCCTCTCATCTTCACATCCTCTCATCTTCACATCTTTTCATCTTTACATCCTCTCATCTTCACATCCTCTCATCTTCACATCTGCTCATCTTCACATCCTCTCATCTTCACATCCTCTCATCTTCACATCTGCTCATCTTCACACCTTCCCATCTTCACATCTGCTCATCTTCACACCTTCCCATCTTCACACCCTCTCATCTTCACATCTGCTCATCTTCACATCTGCTCATCTTCACACCTTCCCATCTTCACATCTGCTCATCTTCACACCTTCCCATCTTCACATCTTCTCATCTTCACATCTGCTCATCTTCACATCTGCTCATCTTCACATCTGCTCATTCATCTTCACACCTTCCCATCTTCACATCTGCTCATCTTCACACCTTCCCATCTTCACACCTTCTCATCTTCACATCTGCTCATCTTCACACCTTCTCATCTTCACATCTGCTCATCTTCACATCTGCTCATCTTCACACCTTCCCATCTTCACATCTGCTCATCTTCACACCTTCCCATCTTCACATCTGCTCATCTTCACACCTTCCCATCTTCACACCTTCTCATCTTCACATCTGCTCATCTTCACATCTGCTCATCTTCACATCTGCTCATCTTCACATCTTCTTGTCTTCACACCTGCTCACCTTCTCTCTCACGCCTTCTTTTTATCTTTCTCTCTTAAGGCCGAGGGTGGTGCCGGCGGCGAGTCACGAAACGTCAACCCTTTCGCACGAAATGAGGGTCGATCGTCAAAAACTGCGGAAAAATTGCGATTTTATTTGTCCCGGAGCAACCCTTTCGCACGAAATGAGGGTCGATCGTCAAAAACTGAGGAAAAATTGCGATTTTACTTGTGCCGGAGCAACCCTTTCGCACGAAATGAGGGTCGATCGTCAAAAACTGAGGAAAAATTGCGAATTTACTTGTGCCGGAGCAACCCTTTCGCACGAAATGAGGGTCGATCGTCAAAAACTGAGGAAAAATTGCGATTTTACTTGCCCCCGAGCAACCCTTTCGCACGAAATGAGGGTCGATTGTCAAAAACTGAGGAAAAATTGCGATTTTACTTGTGCCGGACTTGTCTGTGTGTAAAAGCGTCTGTGTGTAAAAGCGTCTGTGTGTAAAAGCGTCTGTGTGTAAAAGCGCCTGTGTGTAAAAGTCTCTGTGTGCAAAAGCATCTGTGTGTAAAAGCGTCTGTGTGTAAAAGAGTCTGTATGTAAAAGGGTCTGTGTGTAAAGCGTCTGTGTGTAAAAGGGTCTGTGTGTAAAGCGTCTGTGTGTAAAAGTGTTTGTGTGTAAAAGCTTCTGCGTGTAAAAGCGTCTGTGTGTAAAAGCGTCTGTGTGTAAAAGCGTCTGTGTGTAAAAGCGTCTGTGTGTAAAAGCGTCTGTGTGTAAAAGCGTCTGTGTGTAAAAGTTTCTGTGTGTAAAAGCGTCTCTGTGTGTAAAAGTCTCTGTGTGTAAAAGCGTCTGTGTGTAAAAGCGTCTGTGTGTAAAAGTGTTTGTGTGTAAAAGTGTTTGTGTAAAAGCGTTTGTGTGTAAAAGCCTCTGTGTGTAAATGTGTTTGTGTGTCAAAGCGTCTGTGCGTAAAAAGCGTCTGTGTGTAAAAAGCGTCTGTGTGTAAAAGCGTCTGTGTGTAAATGTGTTTGTGTGTCAAAGCGCCTGTGTGTAAAAAGTGTCTGTGTGTAAAAAGCGTCTGTGTGTAAAAGTGTCTGTGTGTAAAGGCGTCTGTGTGTAAAAGGGTCTGTGTGTAAAAGCGTCTGTGTGTAAAAGCGTCTGTGTGTCAAAGCGTTTGTGTGTAAAAAGCGTCTGTGTGTAAAAAGCGTCTGTGTGTAAAAGTGTTTGTGTGTAACAGTGTTTCTGTGTAAAAGTGCCTGTGTGTAAAAGCGTCTATGTGTAAAAGCTTCTGTGTGTACAAGCGTTTGTGTGTAAAAGCAGCTCCTGTGTGTAAAAGGGTCTGTGTGTAAAAGTGGCTGTGTGTAAACGTGTCTGTGTGTAAAAGTGTCTGTGTAGAAGCGTCTGTGTGTAAAAGCTTCTGTATGTAAAAGCTTCTGTATGTAAAAGCTTCTGTCTGTAAAAACTTCTGTGTGTAAAAACTTCTGTGGGTAAAAACTTTGTGTGTAAAAGCGTCTGTGTAAAAGCGTCTGTGTGTAAAAGTGTTTGCGATGCAAACTATTGTCTTGCACTTCTCACTATTTTGTCTTGATACTCCTCTTCTCGACTGCCTATAACACAGCTTTCATATACCGTTTCTAAAATTGCATCTCCATACTAACAAGAGAAGACCCTGCTCCTCTACGCTCTCGGGCCATCCGTCGTCTAGTTTTTTTGGCAGTTTTGGAACCCAGTTACTTCGGACTCTGTTCTTGGTATGCAAAAAGAACGGGGCATTGGCATTGACTGTTAAGAAATTGCGCGTGTGTATGTGTGTAATTTTCCCTTTTTGCGACAATAAATATCTATTACAAGAAATCATTGTTTGTCCCCTGCCGTTTAATCTTGAATAAAAGGGTTGGGACTCAGGCAACAATGCCTACTGTAATCAGGGTTGGCAACTGCAGTGAACATCGACGGTTACAGTATCACATCGTATCATACTATACTACCTTGCATGCCAAGTAGACAAATCTGGCTTACCTCCCCGCAAAAAAGTCTCCTGCTGCTATTTGTTTGTAGTTGCCGGTGGGGCCATTTATCATTCAACTCCTCATGGCCCTAATGCCTACCGAAGAAGTAACCCCGGGTACTTGGTTTTCTTGTTTGTATGTTCAAGTCTTGACAGAGCGAAATTTTCAAATCCGCACCGACGCGTCCACTTTTGCTAGAATTTCAACGGCGGAAAAGCAATACAGACGCCCAACAAATATTCGTTTGGGATACCAAAGCAATTATTTGTCCTGTTTCTTGGGAACCTATTCAACATGACCTGTTGAAATTTATATATAAACTGAAGACCTATCATAAATGCATACAGGCCACTTTGCTGGGAAAGGTGTCCTCCAACAATGATATATGCACGCGCCTTCCCGCCCAACACACGGAAAGTGCCTTTTGGAATGATGACCTCTTTGCAAAGCGGGAGCAACCCGGTGCAGAAAGGCATCCACAACTACACCCGCCTTGGTATGCCAAAAACAAAACAAGCTCCAGGTGCCCATTTCCCAATCACAAAAGCATAGGCTGGGAGCAAATCAATCAAACTGCTTTGCCGGGAAATATTATCCCATCATGATTGACGCCTTGTTTATCCATTAAATTGCGATTGGACTTCTGGGAAACCAGTCACAAGTCTGGCCCGGACAGGGTAGCTTGCAAGTTGATCTTTTCAGGCCGGCCGCAGCCAACTAGGTCTTGAAAATTACGACGGGATTCCTACAACTCCAATCACATTTTGGGTTTTGGGGTCAGCTGCAGCCAACTAGGTTTTGAAAATTGCGACGGGGGTTCTGCTCGAATTAAATCTTGGGCGGGCTGGTCCCAAATTGGTTTTCAAAATTGCCTCAGGGGCTCCGGAAGACCAATCGGGATCTGTAATTCAGGTTCGGCTGCAGCCGTATGGCGTTTGAAATTTGTGATGGGACTGTTTGAAAAACCAATTGCAATCTTGGAGCCGGGTTTAGCTCCAGTCACTTGAGTCTGCTACCAAGTTTATTTTGTACTAGGGTTCACGTTTGAGGCTATGTTTGCAGCGCTGAGAAAATTAGGTTGTGCCCGATTGTGTGATTATACCCTTAAATTTGAAGGTAAAACGCGTGAGCGATGACATGAAAACACCGAAGCAGGGAACTTCAAGCACCGAATCTTTAGTCGCATTCAGTCGCAACGCTTTGGCCTATTAGCCTATAGGATTTATAGGTCAAACATGCATAGAAACTGTACTTCTGTGATTTTTACACATGACATATGTAGTCAAAGGCATTTCCAGCCCGGCCAGCTCCAAGTTTCTCGGTACAGTAGATAGTTCAAGCTGCAGCAGGGAGTGATCGTGCAAACGTGACAGGAATCAAATTGTTTAGTGGCAATTTGTTTGTTGTTGCCAAAATCAAGCTGAATGGTATGATAAATAACAAATGAAAATAAAAACAAAAAAGTGAAACAAAGTCGGCTGATCTGAGTTGCCATAACCCAGCCTCAATTCCTCCAGGCAAGCGGGGTGTTTACAAACTGCCTGCTGTGTTAAAATGATTACTGTCCAAGGAAACGGGTCTCCGCGAAGAAATGGAGGCGCAGATCTGGTGTCACCATCAGATCTGGGGGATATGAATAATTATATATATACATAATTGATGATGATAATAATGATGATAATGATAATGAGAATAATAATAATAATAATGATAATGATGATGATGATGATGAGGATGAGATTCTGGTATTTCTGGCAGGATATTGCCAATGTCTCCCAGCTCACCAGGCCAAGCTTCTTCGTGCTGATGAAGACCGGTCAGCTATGGAGGACGGCGGGGAAGCAGGTGGATGACTCCAGAGTTAGATCATTGTCACTATGGGACGCCCATAAACCACGGAACGTCAAGCTATACTAGCTGTGTTGGTGTGAAAACCAGACTACCGACTCAGGAACCATGGGAACTTGCCCACAAAGACAAGAGGGATGGGCTTGGAATTCAAGATCTGACCACAAATTTCAGCTATTTCTTAGTACTAACATTAACCATCCATTTTTGCGTATCCCAAGTCCCGGATAGCTAAGAAATCGTCACTTGAGGATGATGTACCGGATCTCTACATTGGGAGTGTAACATACCTCCTTTTTTTTCTTAGTTTCTTGGGAGCTTAACGAAGAATCCAGAGCTGTTGGTGGCCTGGCCGGGAGCGAATGCTTGAAATTCAATGCGGATTTTCCAATGGTCGATTTTGTTTTATTACTATTGTACTCCTGGTCGTTCTGCTAGGTCACAGTTGCCCCCAAGTCTGGCCCTAACACCTTTTCCGGGTCCCATGCTGCCAGGGTTCCCTGATGAAGTTGCAGAGTGCCGTGACTGCTGCCGAGGCCAAGAGTGCGAACAATGATATGCAAGACCGTGATTCATGGGGGCTATACGTAGCCATTAATGTATTTATATACAGGATGTATACCTATATATATATAGATATACTTATCTCTATACATATATATATACATATATATATATAGATAGATAGATAGATAGATAGAAAGATAGATAGATAGACACACAAACAATACAAAGGTAGTGAGACAAGTCGGCATTGCACTATGATTCTGCGACAGCCAACAGCGTTGCAGGCCTCTGGTCTGACGGCCCAAAAGATGCGTCAGATGTTGGAGGAGGAGCGGCAAGGCGGCGAGCAATTTCACCAATGGATACACTGGGGAGACAAAAATGTACTACAGATTCTGGTATACTGTATAATCAAGTATATATATATATATATATATATACAAGGAGGGCCCTCAATGAAGAGGGCTGAAATCAGCGTCCGTTAGCGACCCCAAATTCAGACCTTTTGCACACACAGCACGAGGCCCCACGTATAGGGTCAAAGCAGCGGCTCCCCCCCCGCACCCCCAGGATCAATGTTGTTTCCTGGTGTTAATCACTGCAGCAGCCAACTTCCAAAGCGTCAGGTCTTCACAGCAAGACATTTTCGTCAACCTTGATTCCGGGGGGTTGCAGGGGGGGGCCAACATGTGGCCGGAAAGGCCCTTTGAATAGGAAGAAACACATGTGCCGTCACTGCAGGTGGCACATCACAGCTGCAAGATGAAATGACAGTGATCAATGGCGATGTCAATCTTTGCATTGGCTCCACTGCAACACTAGCATGCTTCGGTGTGAAACTACTAAGCACAATGTCACAACTTTATATTGGCTCTGCCGCAAAACTACTATGCTTCTGTGTGAAAACTACTAAGGGGAATTTCAAACTTTGTATTGGCTCGGTGGCAAAACTACTAAGGAATTGTTCAATGGACAAAAATGGAAACACTTTCTTCTATTTCTTTTCAATTGGCAGAAATCCTTGGTAGTTTTGCGTCCAAGCCATTGTGATTTCAATTTCACGGGTTAGTAGTTTTTCATGCGTGCATGAGCTGTGACTCTGCCGTGCCAATACAAAGTCTGCGAAAATGGTTGGAAGTATCCTTAGTAGTTTTTTGGGGCCACAGCAAAAACAGGTGCCAAAGCACGCAAAAACGTGTTTTTGATGCCTTGGGAGACAGCAGTCGTTAGGTAACCTGCCGCGTGTGACTTCACCACATTCCTGTCTGACTCCTTTAGAGACAGCAGTCTCAAGTGCTTCAGTGAAACATATACTTTTGAGGAAGCTGCTGCTGACTCCTCGGGAGACAGCAGTCACAAGTGCTTCAGTGAGACATATAGTTTTGAAGAAGCTGCTGCTGCTGACGGGTCATTTTGAAGGCCAGGAGCCACGAGAGGTCTTGGGTGCTCAGTTTGCCCGCCGATTTCAGGACTCTGCGTCGTTTTTTCTCCTGGCGCAGAGCTGAAACAAAAAGATTGAAAGTACAAGTGGTGCGATGCAGGTGCAATGCAGCTTCACCAAAAAAAACTGAGATGGGAAAGATGAAGGTGCAAGTGGCACGATGGAATGTCAATACAGCTTCACCAACACAAACATGGTACACAAGGATGAAATTGAACCAGCCTGGGCCTTGACTTCTCGACTGGTTTGCTGCAGCTGGCGTTTCAAGGCCTGCCTTTCAGCTTTCAAAGCAGCTATACGGTCATCCATCCCGGGCACATGGGCTACAGCAGCACCTTCCGCAGCATCCCTTTCCATACCAGCGGCGGCAGACGACATGGCTATAGATATAGTCAAATTATGTTTTCTGCGACGAGCTGTGAGCAGTGCTAGCTGCAGAAGCCATGCCGTCTGGACAGCTTCCATGCCAATTTTCTCAAACTGCACAACTGGAAGATAGTGTGACAAAACATGGCCGGTGGGGGCCCAAAACTGGGGGCTTGAAAAGTGATGCCAAAGGGACTCCCGTACCATGTACCCCCATAGTATTATGGAAAAAAAATCTTTGTCCTATAGTGCCACCCACGTCTGCAAATCTGTTGGATCCACCCGGAGCGGCAGCATCAAAGAAAAAGAACCTTATACGCGTGCGCCATTTGGCGTCGCGCTGGCCAAACGCATTGCATCTGCTGGGGTGTCGGCCTGTCAGGCCCAGGCCAAGGCACCCCTGCACCCATCAAGTGTTGAAGCGCTTTGTGCACTTGACCTGGGCCATTGCAGCCCACTGCATCGAAGCTTTTCTGCCATTGCCGAGCTGCCCAAAATTCGTGAGGGGCTTGCATGCACTGCCATAGCCAGGCCAGAGGAGGCACTAAACCATGCTCTGAATATGAGCGCAACTCCTGGTGCTTCCTTTTCAAATATTGTTTAAAAGGGGAGAAGCCTTGCAGATCAAGCGGCTGTAGGTAATCCGTTGTCTGCGCTGGGATATATATAAGCTGCAGCTTGCACTTGCGTGCCATTGCCATGACCTGCCGTGGCAGGTGTGCCGGCGCACAATCAAGGAGTACAACGCCTTGTTTTGACGGAAAACTTTTCAGCACTTCTGCGATCTCTTTGAGAATTTGGGCACTGTTGGCAGCAGAGGTCCAAGCGGACTTTTGCCGCAAAACACGCAAACGAGTTTGTGGCAAAGCGCGCTGGGCGCGCAAGAGCTTCTTCGTGAGTTTCACCTGGGTGCCAATGAGAAAATGAGGCAACTTCCCTTGGATGTGCTTGCAGTTGCAAATCACGCTGACATAAGTCCACGCACCTCGAACATGTTGCTTCAGCACCTGTGCATGCGGCTGTTTGCCCCCTGCTGTCCGTGGCTTTGCCACACATCCAATAGGCGGTGTCATGGTGTGGCCGACGCTAGTCTCATCCAGATTTATAAAAAGCAGCTCCCTGTCCGCGAACCTGCTGTGGCAATAACAGATGGTCCGCCAAAATGTCATGACCTGCTCGAGCGCTGCAGGAAGTGAAAGACAAAGCCTTATTATATATAGGGTCCCCAAATATAATTCCGAGGGAAGAAATTTATTGAAAATGGGGGCCTATTTTTGGTGCCAGATTCTGGCCCCAAAAATGGGACCGCCCAACCGGGATTAAGTAGGCTTATACAGGCATGAAACATGAGGGGGACCCATTTTTGGGGCCACATTCCGGCCCCAAAAATGGAGCCACCCAACCCAAAAAAAGAAGACAAAATGTTGTAAGTTGGCTGGCCCGCGCCTTGTCGCGCAGTACAGCGGGCTCTCTGCTAACAACTTGCTTCAGCACCTTCCGGCGGACGCCCCACCGAGCCCGCCAGCGCTGCACCCACTTATTGACCATGCGTTTGTTTGGCACACCCATGTCCAGCTTCTGGCCATGGAAGGCCTCCTCCCACTTCAAAAACGTGTCCATCGCAGAAGGTGCTTGACCATGATTCGTATTGCAGTCATAGACCCACTGCTCCGTGGCTGCTTCGGCCAGGAAGGCTTGCGCTTTGCGTGAAGCTGTGTCATCCAAAGCGGTCAAATCTGGCAGCGGCGTCGTCAGCAACATCTCTTGGATCAAAGCTGCCGTGGGTACCCATTGCTGCCATAGGATATCGTTGTCAAAGCACAAGCCATGCGGAGAGTCAAATCCATGTTAAAATTCGACAGCATGTAAACAGCTACCACAGTTTTGCGGGCTGCCGCTCCAAGGCCGGCACAGTGCAACCTTTTCCGTTTTTTGGCATTCTGCCGATAGGCCGCTTTCAGTGCTTTGCCATTCTGCACCAAGGCTTCCTTCAAGTCTGACACCCTGGCATCAGATGTGCCTTCGGCCACACCACAGGGCGGCTGCATGACTGACCGCAGAAAAACTATCTGTCGGCAGACTCATTGAAAACATTCGTGTCATGTCAAACCAATCCTGTCTGATACAGCTGAATTCGAATGGAAGCAAGGAAGATGACCTAATGAGTGCGGCCAAAGCATGGCCTCGGCATTTCAAAGCATACAAATTCATGTCTGGCTCATGCAAAAAACAAAAACTATATTGCTGTTGCATGCAGTCAGCGCGGCAAGACTTGATTCATATGGCTGTGTCCAGGAAAAAACATCGAGGAGAGGCGACCTGTGAGGAGCAGGCAAGACCGAACAAGGATGATGAGCCGTCCAATCATGTGGGTTTGTGTTATGACACTGTTATGGAAAAGACACTGCTGGTTATCTCTCCACATCATGCAGGTTTGTGTTGTCACAAGGAGGGCCCTCAATGAAGAGGGCTGAAATCAGCGTCCGTTAGCGACCCCAAATTCAGACCTTTTGCACACACAGCACGAGGCCCCACGTATAGGGTCAAAGCAGCGGCTCCCCCCCCGCACCCCCAGGATCAATGTTGTTTCCTGGTGTTAATCACTGCAGCAGCCAACTTCCAAAGCGTCAGGTCTTCACAGCAAGACATTTTCGTCAACCTTGATTCCGGGGGGTGCAGGGGGGGGCCAACATGTGGCCGGAAAGGCCCTTTGAATTAGGAAGAAACACATGTGCCGTCACGGCAGGTGGCACATCACAGCTGCAAGATGAAATGCTTCACTGGCCGTTGGCGATGTCAATCTTTGCATTGGCTCCACTGCAACACTAGCATGCTTCGGTGTGAAACTACTAAGCACGATGTCACAACTTTATATTGGCTCTGCCGCAAAACTACTATGCTTCTGTGTGAAAACTACTAAGGGGAATTTCAAACTTTGTATTGGCTCGGTGGCAAAACTACTAAGGAATTGTTCAATGGACAAAAATGGAAACACTTTCTTCTATTTCTTTTCAATTGGCAGAAATCCTTGGTAGTTTTGCGTCCAAGCCATTGTGATTTCAATTTCACGGGTTAGTAGTTTTTCATGCGTGCATGAGCTGTGACTCTGCCGTGCCAATACAAAGTCTGCGAAAATGGTTGGAAGTATCCTTAGTAGTTTTTTGGGGCCACAGCAAAAACAGGTGCCAAAGCACGCAAAAACGTGTTTTTGATGCCTTGGGAGACAGCAGTCGTTAGGTAACCTGCCGCGTGTGGCTTCACCACATTCCTGTCTGACTCCTTTAGAGACAGCAGTCTCAAGTGCTTCAGTGAGACATATAGTTTTGAGGAAGCTGCTGCTGACTCCTCGGGAGACAGCAGTCACAAGTGCTTCAGTGAGACATATAGTTTTGAAGAAGCTGCTGCTGCTGACGGGTCATTTTGAAGGCCAGGAGCCACGAGAGGTCTTGGGTGCTCAGTTTGCCCGCCGATTTCAGGACTCTGCGTCGTTTTTTCTCCTGGCGCAGAGCTGAAACAAAAAGATTGAAAGTACAAGTGGTGCGATGCAGGTGCAATGCAGCTTCACCAAAAAAAACCTGAGATGGGAAAGATGAAGGTGCAAGTGGCACGATGGAATGTCAATACAGCTTCACCAACACAAACATGGCACACAAGGATGAAATTGAACCAGCCTGGGCCTTGACTTCTCGACTGGTTTGCTGCAGCTGGCGTTTCAAGGCCTGCCTTTCAGCTTTCAAAGCAGCTATACGGTCATCCATCCCGGGCACATGGGCTACAGCAGCACCTTCCGCAGCATCCCTTTCCATACCAGCGGCGGCAGACGACATGGCTATAGATATAGTCAAATTGTGTTTTCTGCGACGAGCTGTGAGCCGTGCTAGCTGCAGAAGCCATGCCGTCTGGACAGCTTCCATGCCAATTTTCTCAAACTGCACAACTGGAAGATAGTGTGACAAAACATGGCCGGTGGGGGCCCAAAACTGGGGGCTTGAAAAGTGATGCCAAAGGGACTCCCGTACCATGTACCCCCATAGTATATGATATTTGTGTTTGTCTGAAGATGTGGTATACCCCACAATGGGGCCAATTTCATGGAGAAGATTTTTGGACAGCCAGCCATAGTTCCAATAGGGGTATCCTGGAAAATCCGAAAATAGATCCGTCAGAGCCACCCGGTAATCCACCCTGGCAAGCTTGGAAATCCACTAATTATAAATGGAGGTTTAGTTCACTGGGAAAATCATCGAACTATTGCTGATCTGAAAAAAAGCAGGCCATGTGTGAGTCCCAGAAGGTCATTCGCCAGTTCACGTTCACCACCTTGAGGGAAACAGACAGATGACCCCAATGAGTATCTTGAGTCCTGTGATGGGCTCACTGGGCTGAGGATTTTTTCATGATTTTTGGATATAGTTTACCTATGGCCCATTGAAGCCAGCGATTTTTGGCCCGTAGAGGGCATGTTGCAGGTCGCCAGCAGGCCATACAGCAGCTGGAGGCATGGGCCGCCTGGAAGTGTCCAGTTGTTCGCTCCAAATGTTCAGTTTAGAGAATTGGTTTCACTATGTTTCATTGTACCCTCTGGTAATTTAACAGTTTGCTATTGAAAATGACCATTTGTAGTGGATTTTCCCATTAAAAATGGGTGGATCTTTCCATAGCTATGTTAAATTACCAGAGGGTATCTTTTTCACGACATCGACTTTTCTCTCCGTTGGAGTCTCCGTTGGTTGAGTTTGTGGAGCTAACTCCCAAACGAAGCCAGGCTTTACTGCAGAAGAATGACACCTTCCTCAGTGAAGAACGGCCGCTTGAGCTTGGAATCACTAGCTACCAGCTACCACTTGAAACTGAAACGACTTTACTGGTTATATTTGCATATGGATAGTGTAATATACATTATTTATATTTATTTATGTATACATATATATATATATATTAAGATGTATATAATGATATATATATATGTATTTACAGAAGCTTTGGAAAGCATCTGAACATTTCTTTGTATCATGTGCGATTTTCAGTTTGAGACAAAGTGGTACGGTGGTGAACGAAACCAACTAGTTGATCCCACCAGATGTTGATGGTGCCCCCTAGTTGTAAATTGAGCTATTACCCATTTCACAAAAAACTTATCCTAACTTATCCATGAATTCCTGAAGTTGATTTTATTACCCATGGAAAGTTTAGGATTATCCTAACTTATTCATGGAAAGTTGGGAAACTTACAATTCACTCTACTTATTCAGTTGATTTTATTACCCCATCTCACCAGTTGTAAGTTTCTAAAAAGTTCACCATTCCCAAGGTTTACCGAGTTTGCCCGAGGTCTCTACGAGAGGAGCAGTACCAAGTACTGGGTGGACGATTGTCCCAAGTGCACGGAGAGGTAGAAGATGTGAGGCACTTCCTACAGTGGCGTAGAGAGATTTCATGGATATTTCATGGATATTTCATGGATATTTCATGGTAATTCAATGGATATTTCATGGTGATTTCATGGGGATTTGATGGTGGTTTAATGGGATTCAAAAGCATCATCTTTATGGGGATCATCAACAAAGATGGGGATTGAACCAGCAAGAGTTAGGGAACATGATGATATCATTTGGATAAAACATGGGCATAGAACCAGTGATGATTCGTTTTTCTGAGTGGTTTCACAGAAGTCAGAATCATTTTAATCCATCCAAAGGCTGTGATGATGCCCAAGATGTACTATTCACAAAATTGGATGGGACAAAATTAACAGGAAACTCCGATATTTCATGGTAAAAACCATGGTTTCCGGTTAAGATTTTCCCTGAAACCAATCCATTGACATCATTTTCCCATCATTTTCCCATCATTTTCATCCCATCTCATGGGTTGGCTCGCCCGAAACTCCCTGCGAGGCAACGAGCGCAGGAAGCCCTGGGACGCTGTGAGGAGCCGATCGGATCTCTGAGATGTGGTGATGTGGTGTATGTATAATATGTATATCTGTCAATATTGACATTTATATGTTCTCTCTCTCTCTATATGTATATATATATATGTATAGATATAACAAATTTAAAATCATGTTTTATTACATATTCAGCATGATAATCATGATATACAAATATATATGTACACATCATATATCTATGTCATGTAGTGTTGGTCCCGGTGAGATGAATTTCCGTGTGGCCCAGTGGGCCCAGGAGCTGCGGAGCCTCCAGGAGTCGCTCAGCCAACAGAAGGCCGAACGCCAAGCGGAGGCATGGTGGAGTTTTTTAGGCCTTTTATGGTGATGACATGGTGATGACATGGTGATGACATGGTGATGACATGGTGATGACATGGTGATGATGTGGTGATGATGTGGTAATATGATGATTATTAGGTGATTACATGGTGATTATTAGGTGATCTAATATGGTGATCAACTAATTTCTAATTCCGATCATATGACAATTTGTATGTGTATGTTAATGGTGAAGTTTATGATGATCATGATTTCTAACGGTGACTATATGGTGATTTTTATGGGATTATAATTTCTGATGCGGAAACCAACAATACTTATGTTTTCATTGGAGTGGTTTGAGGGACAATCTAGATGGACACACCGATATATTTTATGGGGAAAGAACATGGTTTCCTGTAGATTTTCCCTTCAATCCAGTGAGATATGAGAAGTGATGATGGATAGCAGTTGGACCAAAGGTGGTGACACAGTGAGTCTCGTGCTTCTTGGTTTCGATTCTACATCTCGATGAAGCCACACTATTATTTTGGCCATGTTACCTATGTCACCTATGTTACCTATGTTGGAGCTTTCAAAGCATGTTGAAAGTTGTCCTGGACATCGTGACAAGCCGCTTGCCCTTGGGGCCTTTGGGCAGGCAAGTAGTGTGCAGTTGAGTCTCAACGAGCTGTCCCTGCGCATTGAGCAGTTGCAGCAGGCGACCGCTGCTGGTTGTGTGGAGTGGTTGCGATTTCCCAGCAGGGACACATTGGATTACCATGATGGAATATCCATTTCTGATTGAAACAAAAAATGATGGAAGATTTCTTAAGAAGATAGCCCTTTCATTTTTGTTTCAGACCATCCACAGATTTTGATCAAAACCTCCCGCGGTGAACTTGGGGAACTTCCCGGAGGGATTTGAGGGACTTTCCTGGGAAACAACAAAGGGGAAGCCAATGGGAAATTTCCGCACATCGGCCAGGTTTTTTCATGAGAAATTTCGAGATTTCGAACTTCACCCCAGGTTTTTTGATGGTTAAATCCCCATTGGTCCCCATTGGTCTCCATAGCTTTCCCCCAGGTTTCTCGGTCCGACGTCGAAACCGGTGTCTCTGTCGCGACGTGTGGAGGCCTTTGATGCGTCGGGTCGCACGTTGCAGCAGAAGTTGATGGAGTTGCAGCAGCTGGTGGAAGATGAGGCAGCCACTGGAGGATTCAACCATCAATTAAGTGTGGATATGGTGGGATATCTAGCTCTAAAATGCTATATAAATCTCATTTTCAAGGGGATGAAGATCCATGACTACTATTTATATCTATTTATATGTGAACTACAAAGGGTACATGGGTTTGAGCCATAGCCATATTGTAATTAATTTGCAGCAGTTTGATTCTTGTTCACAACGACAACACCCAGAGCCAATGCGGGGAACGTCTCAGAATGAACTGATGTTTTTGAGTCTCTGCAATGGCGGCTGGGTATTTTGAATTTGGTTTGAAATATAAGGACGGTCAGATGGGGATGGTTCGAACTCATTTCTTGATGGTTTGAGTGCGAGTACCACAATATATATATATGCAAATAATATGGGCAGCAACATGTTCAGCAAAAAAAATGTTCAAAATGATGGTGTTGGACGAGGACAAGGAACGGCTGAAATGCACATTCCCTGAAAAATAGTTTAGTTGAATCATATTCTATAACTATTTGTATAAGTATATACATCACTATACATAATATACACTTTTGTTTGCATTGATGTGTAATTATACCTCGCATCTACACACACATATATATATAATATATAAAATTCACATATATATATAATATAAATGGTAAATAAGCAACACATGTAGATAGTCATATTAACAAACATATAGGTTTAAACGTTTAAGTGCATTTTTTTGCTGATACACATAGCAAGAACTCAGCCGACTGTGACCTTTCTGCCAGCTGAGAAGGCTCAACTGCGACAAGCCTCAGATGAAGAGCTGGGACGGAAGCAGGCGACAAACTTGGAGGCCTGTGACTCCACGGAGACATCCAAATTTTAAAGAACCAAAGATTGGATTTTCGCCCAAACCGTTGTATATATATATGTATATATAGAGAAATATACATACATATATATATACATAACCATAACATTTTTCCAATCCCATGTCACGTAAAGGCACACACACACATGAACATCTTGTATATACCTCGTATGTAGATGTGTTGTGTGCGAGCCCTGAGAGCCGCGAGGCGCTTCCCAAGGCCATGAGCGCGGAACGGCAATGCAGGGAGGATGCCCTGGGTAAGTTGGAGGCCGGCTGGGAAAGGTTGATTTAAGCAGCAACATCTTAGGAGTTTATTGTTTTTTAAGAGATTGAATAGGAGATATTCCTGATGTTCTAGTTCCAATTCAGAAATGGACAGAAACAACAAATACCATGGATTTGACCAACAGCATCGTTGGCACTTTGGGTACGCACCACACCTGGGTGTTCCGCAGCAGCTGTGATGAAATCCCAACAGCATCAGCTCAGGATTGGTGAAACCCCAATGGCTGGTGTGGCTTTCCTTTTTGGACATAGCCATTGGAAATTCCCCCAAATTTTGTTGGGAATAGTTGGGATATAACACCTATAAACTATGTGGAATACCTATGTTTATATATGTTTATATTTCCTGTAACGGGAATTGCACCCCCCTTCCTTCTGGTTCCCAGATGGCCATTTGCCCAACTCTGGGCCCCCGCGCGAACCCTCGGGACCAGGATACGCTGCGACAAGAACAAGCAGACGAAAGGCCGGCGACGTCGTGCGAAGACGGCTTTCGCCTTGAATTTGGTGTGTCAAAAGATGGTTTGGAAGCAGAAGTCCAGAATGTTTGTGGTTTTTTCTGGGTCTTGTTAAATATATATCGAATCTTTTGATATGAAGTTGAAGTCGACATGCGTGGATGTCACTACTATCTATTATAGTCTAGAAGCTATCATTCATCAATAGGTTTTCTTGTTTTGATGGTGTTTTTTCCATCCCAAATCCCAAAGCCATGATTGTGGCTCTGATGGATCCTTGAACTGCCAGGGTCAGTCAGCAGTGGGCCCGCCTGAAAATCGAATGGTTTGTACTGAACATGTCCAAACCACTGATTTTATATTGGACATTTGGAATATTAATAACCATCCATTTCAGGTGGTCAATCATTTTTCATCCATGGCCTGTTTCAGAGCTTTGTCAAGGACAGCTGATTCCATTCCCCTGCTGAAACCGGACAATGACTTCCCCCGGTGAAACCCAATGCCCCCATTTTCAAAATCCATGAATGATTGTTAGCTACAGTAAACCAACAAAAAGATAGCACAGCAAAATCAAGTTCCAAAAAAGAAGTGGTCAGAACGGTATCATTTTCTGATATATTTCATGCCAGTTATAAGAGTTATTTCATTTAGTGATCAATTGATCCATTCATATTCATCAACGTCCACGAATCGAATGATCGCGATGATCATCGGGATCATCTCCCTGTGGCCTGATAAAATTTGTGGGATTCCCCCATGACCTCACCATAGAAATAAAAAACACGAACCAGCCAAATACTAGAGAGTTGATGGGTTGATTCTCAAATACAGTGGTTTAGGATTTAATAGGTGAAATAAGAATCCTATAATGCAATAATGCTTTTTGATGATAAACTATTTCCTTTTCCCCGTATTTCCCATTGTATATAATCCAATAGTATCCAATGAATTAAACATCTACAAGCTGGGGCCCCAAACTTGAACGCAAAGTTAGGTGAACAAAACTCCATGGACTAGAGTCTCTAGAGTTATAATTGCCATAAACTCTATAGCTATTGGAGTATCATAAATAAATACCATACTTAACTATACTTACAAGTCTCATAAACCATCATAAACCAAAGTGATTGGAGTTATCTTCACCTAACTTAGCCATTTCGTCTACGAAAAACGCCTGCCTTCAGCTCCCAGGCAGCGCCTCAGTGCGCTCCTGCAGGCATCGGAGTTGCGCTGGCAGCAGCTGCGCGAGGCGAGGTTTTTCATCAGTTACTGTAGGTTGGTGGTTGGTTAATCATCCATAATCATCCCAACTGACTGACTTTCATATGGGGTGGTTGGTTCATCCCAACATTGGTTTCCAATATGGGTATGGATCAATACCTATAAAAATACCATATTTTTTGGGGAATGAACATCCATAAATCCCAGCTATTTTGATGGCTATTTTGATGTGAACAGAAGGGGTACAAGGTTTTGACACACTGCCATATTTTTCAGAGGGGTTCAAACATTTCAAACCACCAACCAGGTATTGTATATATGATAAACATGTCAAAAGGGAGGCTGAATACATGACTTGCTTCCATTTCTATCTGGTATATTGAAATATCTGGTATACCACATGAAAAACCACCCCCTCTTTTTTTGGACGTAGGTTAAATCACCATGTTGCAGTGGGCATGGCCATATTTAAGTCGTCTCCGAAGGCCACCGAAGATGCCATCAAACACCGCCCGTGGGCCGAGCCGAGATATGACTGGCCCAAGTGACACCAGATTTGGAGTATCTGATGCTCAATTCTGACTCGAATTCAGACCTTCTGGGCCAAGTTGGCTCTTCCAACTTGGGGATCTATTTCAGAAACCTTCCAGAAATTTTGGACTTCCTCTAGAAATCATAGCCTCAACAGCTTCCATCCTTTTGGGGCTTCACCAGGTCTCTGGGTTTTCTGTTTCGGCCATCCCAGGTGTAGAGCAACACGGCACTTTGGCCCTGGAGCTGGCGAAGGCTGCAGATGCTCTGGGTGAAGAGACGCGAGAGAGGCAGAAGGATCACAAGGTGCTGGTGGAAGATGGATAGGACAGGAAAAGGATCTGTAAATGGTGGATGTTCCCATGTTGAATATTGCATAACATTGCTATTTTCATGGGAAGATCTTGTATCGTGAAGATAATCTATAGATGATCTATAAACGGTGGACTTTTGGGGATCTACATGAGTGCCCTGGCAAAGTGATCTAGAAATGATGGCACCTTCCAGATCATCGATGTCCTTCTTCCCACCGGTCGGTTTCTGAAAAAGTGAGGGCTTATCCTGCAGGAACTTTAAAGGGTGTGGCCGTGGGTCAAAATTTTGAGATGGCTCTGGGACCCAAGGGAATCAACCATTGCTAGGTGTTTTGAAAACTGTCTATTCTTTGTCATACCTGAAAAAGATGATCAACGACCATGTTGCTGTGTCCTGTTTTGGTTTCCACAGATTTGGGACAACACAAAGCCACTAGAGACACCACTTTCAGCCGATATGATTCGTGGGACACCCAGGAGAGCAGTGATTTTGGAGCGTAACAAAGGAACACCAAAAAAGCCTTGCTTCACGATGTCCAGGAATGTGAAGCCTAACACGAAAACTACAAGTCCAGTTGAATTCAAACTTCAATTTCTCCTCCGTTCATTTCTTTGCGGCCGTGCTCTCAGTTCTTATTTCAAACAAAATTTGGTGCGCGTCTTGAAGACATTCAGGATCAGGATTAGCCCTTAAAATTGACGTATCATGATGTATCAACCAGGATTTTCCCAGATTTTTCTCCACCCTTTTCCCGGTTGTGTGTCACTTCGTGTCGTCAGAAAGGTCCTCCAAAGCGACGTGAAGCGCCTTGCAGAGGAGGCCCAAAACAGGATTCGAAGCGCCTCACCATGGGGGTATCACAGATGGTGCCACCCAAATTTGACACATCCCAACATTGGTTTCCAATATGGCTATGGGTCAATACCTATTAATACCATTTTTAGGGGAATGGAAATCCATTTACCAGCTATTTTGATGTTCACCAGGGGTACAAGGTTTTGACACCCTGCCATATAATCAAATAATATGGTTTGGATGATTTTGGATGATCCCAAGCATTTCGCTTGAATAAAAAATCGATGAAATAACAATCAAAGATGTTGGGTGGTTTTGCCAGGCACAAAGCATGCAGACTCTGAGGCGCCAAGCAGAGGAAGGTGCGGCTTCAGGGGTCCAGGATGGTGAGGTTAGATGGATTTAGAAGCTCTCTAAATGTCAGGAGAACCTATATTATATACATGTGTATGTTATCTAAGTTATCTACTATGTAAATGTGTACATCTATGAGATAAAGTCAAATGGTCGACGTCACGATTTGGTATCAAAGTGGAATAGCGGAACGCATGTGGTATTTTACTCGGGAAACGAAGCAGGAAAACGCAAAGCGAAGCTTCTTTCTTGATAGATATTGATTTGTTATCCTGTTTTGTCCCTTTCTCTACATATTATATATGTATATTGCATATATGATCATATATATATATATACATATATATATACGTATATATAACACAATAAATATAAAACAATACACACATATATATATATATCTATATGCATACATATAAAATATGTTTATAGAGCTAGGATTATATTCCTTGCCGGAAAGACATGGATTCTTTGCAACAGAAAACACACCTGGTGGTTTTGGAGGAGGCACTGCCACTTGGCCGAGGTTTACGGGAACAGATCTACATGACTCTGCAGCGACTTGAGCAGGTGCCATGGGGATCCACCGTTGACAGTGGATATTTGGCTATGGATCAATACCTATTAATACCATTTTTAGTGGGATGAACATCCATAAATCCCAACTATTTTGATGTTCACCAGGGGTACTGGTACAAGGTTTTGACACACTGCCATTTGACGATATTTCGTGGCCCATCAAAAAAACCCTTCAGCCCCAGCGAGTGTTGTGGTTCAAGGGATGCTGAACGCCATGAACGTCTCCCGCTTCGCTCAGCGCACCGGACGCCTTTGGCGTCGGCCTGCGGTGACGGCTGTGAATAGCCTGTGGCAGTCAGCGGTGCCATGGGCAGAGCCTCTCAATTTGGGATGGCCAGAAAAGAAGGCAGAGACTGAAATGAGTCGCCTGGAGGTGCTTTTAGCCCTAGAGATGAAAGATTTTGTGTTTTTCATGGCAACATGGAATTCGCTCAACATATCCCACACGAAGTCAAGAATTCAAGTTATGGCATAGGTGCCACTGGTAGTTGAAGCTTGAAGCTGGATATTTTAGCACAAAGTTCCAAGGTTGGAAACCTTTCTGGGCAGCTTTGGGTGCTGGGATTGGAGCCTCTTTGGCTTTTCCTCAAGTTGGATCTGTTTCAAGGTGCGAAATAAATCGAGAGTGTGCGGAAAGGGCACAAGCCCAGGTGAAGGCTGAGCTACAATCCAAGGGCCCAGTCCGCAACCATGTGAAAAAAGACTGTGGCCCTTTGGGCACTCGAAATATAGATTTTGCAGATGCAAAAGGTGGATACCATGAAGTGAAGACCGGCAGAGTGGCATACAACAAACAGATCAAGACACAGATTGAAAAGGATGCTCACATCCTCAGAAACGATCCAGAATGCAAGGGGATCACTTGGCACTTCAGTCCTGGAAATTCAGGGGAGCCGGACAAGCGTGTGATTCGGCATCTACGAGAGGAAGGGGTGGACGTAGTCTTCCATGACTTTCAAGACGCGTCACGGACCGTTTCCGACCTTCAAGCGCAGGGTGCCTGCAGTGGCTGCAGAACCATTGTTCGTCTCTATTGCTGATGATGGTTGGCATGATATTTTTTTCCATGCTTGGCGCGCACTTCCTTGAAATGATGGGAAAAACCAAACCAGCTCGCAATGTTCATGGCAAGAATGATCTTTCGCACATGGAGATGAGGAAGAAGAGGACGAAGAGGAAGAAGATCATGGCAACAATGAAGAGGAAGAAGAGGACGAAGAGGAAGAAGATCATGGCAACAATGAAGAGGAAGAAGAGGACGATGAGGAAGAAGATCATGGCAACAATGAAGAGGAAGAAGAGGACGATGAGGATGGAAGTCAGTATGTGAACCACCAAGAAAAACACACGTCTTTATCGGAGCCACGATAAGCATGGAGCTTGGCATCCCAACGATCTTGTGTCACCTGCTTCCCAGCAATGGGTGAAGCCAGTGTGTTCAAATACTGATCACCATCGCCGATGGTAACAGCTTTTCCAGCAAGCTGTGAAAAAATGTGCTCAGAGAAACACTGCACCTTGGAGCTGTCCTGGAATAGCAGGCATTAGTGGATTGCAACTTTGGTCCCTGACAGGCTCAAGAGACGATGCTGAAGCAGGAGATCTTTTTTGCTTTGAAAAACCGATGAGTGTTTTCTGGGTCGAAACACATGATCGAACTACCATCCTGGAAGCACACTTCATTTTCTTTGGGGAGTGACTTATTATATATTGTATGTATATATATATATAATATTATACACATATATATTTATATATGTATACCTGTATTATACCTGCATACCTCATTGTCGGACACACCCACGTGGTTTCATGAATTCTTGGAGGATCGCCTTCCTAGTGATGTCCAGTAATAGGGTAGCCCCGGGTACCCAAAATCGAAGGGTTCAGGACCTGGGGAACTAACCAAATCTGCTTCTTTTTGTGCCACAGTTTGATTTCCGGACACTGAACATGTTGGTGGTATATATATATACACATAAACACAATTATATGTAGATATAATTATATATATACATATATATACATATATATATATACATACATATATATACATATATATATATATCATATTTCCCATGAATATGCATTGGTTCCATCCCATGATATCCCCTATGTCCCCTAATCATTGCTGGATTTTTATCCTCATGTTTGGAGGACAGTGAGATCAAGGCCTCTGTGGGAGAGTTGAGTCTGGTCCATGGGGGTTTAATGGGGGTAGAAAACCAGTCAGATGGGGAGATTTTATGGGAATATGAGCAACCACAGTAGAAACATGCCATAGTATATATATATGTATATTCCCATTATATTTCATTAAAACCCATGTGTGTATATATATATGTATGTATATATATATATCCTGTGGCAATGGTTCATGTTCCTATTCAAGGGGATGGTCATCAATCCAGGGCTTAATATACCCATGTATTTGGAATACTCAATACAGTATGTATTTGGATAAGACTCAGCTCGGAATAGAGAATGGTGAGTATAAATCGTAGTAAATCTATGATCATTATAAATAGTGGTTGATGTAATAATATGATAATTTATGGGGTCAAAGAACTTTTTAGACTTCATATTGGTTCATACCAACATAAAACAGAGAAAATAACGAGTGCCGAAGTTTTGACCTGGAAGCTGGATCGCGAGCCTTGCCCAGATATAAACAGAGTGAGAAAAATTGAAACAACAATGTAAGCGGAAATTCCCCATCTGAAGTCAATAATCTAGCGGGCCACTTTAAGGTAGAGTTTCTGGATCTTTCAAAGGATAGAAAGAACCATTTCCTATCATTTCATGCTGTCTTGGATGTGTTTTTCTTTCCTATCCTTTTTTGGGACACCATATCCTCAGTAAACCTTGACTGGATATGTTAGCCGATGGTATGTTATTTCATACCCAGCTGTTTTTCGCGCTTAGTCTCCAACACACGCCACGTATCAAAATTCTACTGTGTGTCATACGTGACATCATATTGCATCATACCTATCATAACTCCCATACCAAGGTATGACTAATCTTTGCTGGATTTCCATTGATTTATCGATACCGGCTGATATTTAACAGTTGCTAATTGTATACTTGTTATGCAATTATATAGTCGTAATTCCATTGTATCCTCATTATATTCCCAGTATACTCCCATTACATCCCCAGTATATCTACAGCTTTTCCCCAGAATGTCCCATCCAACCCCCATGTTGGCTGTTGGAATCCCAGGGTTATATCCTCATATATGCTATGGTCACAACTTGGAATCATGTGCCGATATTGGTTCAATGTATGGTGATTATATATATATATATCCCTATTTGATGGTTAGATCATTGTCTCATTATATCAAGTGATATCCTCATATGATTTCCTACTTTGTTTATACTGTATGGATCTATATATATATATATATACATAAATATATATATACATATATATATATATACATATGGTGAGTTATATATCTTTATCATGGAGAACTATGGCATTACTATGGCTATCTTTCCATGGCTTTCTATGGGGGTTTGAACCTCGTCCGCGCCGAGGTTCCTGGCTCTCCACCGAGTCGGCCACCCGGAAAGCGGCCTGTGAGCAATTGCAGAAGGTGCCACGGTGGGAAAAAAGTCATGGAACGTTGAGAGTGATGGTTAATGGTGGTTAATAGTGTTTAATGCTGATTGATGATGGTTAATAATGGTTAATAATGGTTAATGGTGATGGTTACCCTCTGGTAATTTCTCACATAGCTATTGAAAATTGCCATAGAAATAGTGGATTTACCCATTGATAATGGTGATTTTCCATAGTTATGTTAGTTTGCCAGAGGGTATAGTTTTATGATAACGTAATATAATGCCATAACTATAACTCTTATATAAAACCATATAAAACTATAACGTTAATGCATATAACTAATATATGTTTATAGTTTGATTACTATGATAGTTCTATGATAATGTCATAGAACGATAATTAATACTGATAAAACTATGACCATAATTAATGATATAATTTCATATCGCTAGAACTAATACGAATACTATGATAGTTATTAGCTGTATGGTAATTGAATAGATCTATAACTATAACCATAGAAAAATCATTGATCATATAAGTATAACTAATACTATGGTATAGTGTATAACTAATAACAGTATGAAAAAACATTAGAGTACAACTATAACTAATTTCATATAACATAACTAATACGAATAATGACTAATGTAACTAATATACCCAATGCAACTACTAAACAATGTAACGGTCAATGGTTGCTGTAATCATCCTTATGATTGATGATAGTCCAGTTTTTGAAGTAACATTCTCATCTGGAAAGTAGATAGAATGTGGACATTTCAATTAAATATCACACAAAATGGGAATATGAGTGTAAATTTGATATTATACGTTTGGATGACTATATATATATATAGATATAGATATCGATTTAGATGTAGATATAGATATATGACGAGGGTTCATAATCACGTGGTAAACCCAATAATAATCCTCGAAACTTTAATGGTATACACAACCCATTTCTGGCAAAATTGGGGATGGTTTATTTATTATTGGATTCCCCACATTCTGGAATTATGGATGCTTACAGTAGCCCTTTTTCCTATGGTGAAGTAATGTTAAGCCCCCAATCCTTATGTACACTCTGGCAATTGTTTACAGGCTGCCATGGAAAATGGCCATGGAAACAATCGGCAAATCATCTAGAAACGGTTCTTTTTCCATTGCTATGTTAATTCATGTTAAATCACCAGGGTATCATTGGAATAGATTGGGGCCAAACCACGGAAAAAAAACATGAGATATGACAAAATGAAGGTTGGGCCGCGCTGTTCTTACATCTCGGTAACTTAGATCGCGACGTCACTTCGCAAAAGATGGGTTAGCACTATTAGAGGACTCATCCTCTAACAGCCTTTAATGCGATTCCAGTTGGTAAATTACTATATGATACTATATATGAGGTAGCCAGATGAATGTTCTTTTTTCCCAGTAGGTTTTGGTGCAATAAGGGGAACAACACTAGGCAAATAGTGGTATCTGGCAATTTGGCCATGGAACAATACTCATCTTTGGAGATGATTCTGCCTATTCAAATGACCATAGTGCCATAGTTATGCAACAAATTACCAAAGGGTATACCCCCAGGTTATTCCAACTATCCATGATTCATCTACAGTACAGTACTATTGTGGTCAAACATTACCACTTTCCTCGGCTACATTTAGACTGCCAGAGGCCACAAAGGGTAAATGGTACGCCATCCGACCCCTCTGCAAGCCAAGCACCTTGTTCCTAAAAACCATTGACCATTTGACACTTGTCATTGTCTCATTTTGGTATGTCTGAGGATGGGGGTAGCCTTCACCCGCAATTTTTATCATTTTATGGCATGAAAAATTGGGTGATTTTATGATAAACCACTGGATTTTGGGGTACCCTGAGCTTGAGACTAACCCCCCAATGAGCCAGGGGAAACCCAGGTGGAATGCACTTGATCTGTATCTTTTGGACATATTGTTTGGTGGTTTATATCATGATTACGATATTTTGTGGCATGAACCAGCTCATTGAGTAAGGGTTAATATGTATTTTGGTCATTTTTGGTCTGTAATAGAACCACTACAATCACAACAGTCGTCCTCTTGCGCAACTCCCATGGATTGTGGAAGTTACACATCATTACAATGCCATTCGTTTCTAATAAATAATATATGTAAATATAAGGATTATATTTATACCAGTGCAACACTAATCCCTAGAATGATTAGGTCATACTTTCATTGATATGTATATATATAATGTATGTATATATACATATATCCATATGATATGCAATCCGTAAAAATCATAAGCATATCATCATGATATCTTGATCCAGAGATTGCATTCCCAGTGATCCACCAGGAGTTACAACAAGATGCCGCAGCCAAAGAAGAGCTGGTCTCTGTCAGGGAGCACAGTGGCTAGCGTGGACGGTATCCCCAGATGCACCATTCTAAGAAACGTAAACATGTGCTTATATCATGCCTGCTTACATTGTAATTTGTGTATGCTTACATACATATATGTATATATGTATGCATATAGTTACATATGCTTACACATGTATGGTTATGTATACATCTACATACATGCATAAATGCCTACATATCCACATGAAAGGCGAGGGTAATACACCTATCAAATGTCGAGGTTTGCAAATGACCGGGTTCCCTGAGTCTGAAGCACTGGGTCCCCACTGGATCCCCAAGTGGATTTATCTCACGCGTTTCTTCACTTTTGCTGATGGAACTTGAGGCTGCATCCCCGCTAGTAAGTAGATAATGACCATAGACCCTAGCCAAATCAATGGAATATCCCCAGCTATAGATCGTTAGTTATAAACCACTTACTATCTGGGACGACAGCACAATCGTAGCTTGATATGACGAGGTTTTTTCGATGATCCGAGTAGGTGTGGCTTAAGGATGGGGCACTGTACATACAACCAGATACAGCCAGACGCATATCTTATTGGTCTAACACCATCCAATGTGTACACCACCATGTTAACCTAGGATCCCAAGCCATCGGCCAAAAGCACCAGATATCCATCCTTGGTGAACAATTTGATGTGCAAAAAGTCATCTCTGTCGGTTGCAAAAAGCATTTTTTTTTTTTGGGCGAATCCAATCTCTGTCGGTTTCCTAAGTCATGGGGGGTACCCTCTGGTAAACTAACATAACTATGGAAAATCACCATGTTCAATGGGAAAAATCACTATAAATGGTGATTTTCCATAGTTATGTTAGTTTAGCAGAGGGTACTCCATCATCCAGTCGTCGTTCTTCGTCGTGGTGACGACGCAATGGGATCCCCTGGCAGCCAGGTGGCCAACAAAGGCATGCAGCGGGTTACTGCGAAGGTGGAGGCGGGACTACCCTATGGTTATGACTAACATAGCCATGGTTAAGCCATGGCCCATAGAAATAGATGGTTGACCGAACTTGAAAATGCTGGATCTTTCCATGGCGAACTGTTAAATAACCAGATGGTATTGAGAATAACTGGGTGAATTCTGTTTGCCAGGTTTGGTTTGTAGAAGGGGCGCATATCCTCGATAGATCCACTTCTGTTTGTTGTTGTGGGCCCCAGTTACTAACGTTTTACACAACTTCAGGTATGATGGCAGTTGTGAACATCATGCCTCTCAGACAATGGCCAGTTGTTCCCCTTATTGTAAGCCAAGGTTCATTACCGATTCAGTACCCGATAAAGTCTCGCAAGATAATGGCTTCAAGAATCTCCCCGAAGGGCTTCTCTCAGCTTAACTGATGAAGCCGTGGCTCCAAGTCTCATGCTCTCTTTTTCCGGGCAGCTGCCCAAGACAAAAGTGGACATTCATGGATTGTGAACTCTCAAAGACTGATTTGCTGTTTCTTTTTCTATGTATACATACATATTATATATGGTCCCGTGTCCCGTGTTCCCACCCTCCCCCTCCCCCCCCCCATGGGATGGGGGGGGTATGATGCCCCTGTGGTGGTGTATATACATATATACATATATACATACATACATACCTACATACCTACCTACCTACCTACATACATACATACACACATACACACACACAGACATACCTACCTACCTACCTACCTACCTACATACATACATACATACAAACACGCATACACACAGACATACATACCTACCTACCTACCTACCTACCTTACCTTACCTTACCTTACCTTACCTACCTACCTACCTACGTACCTACGTACCTACGTACACACGTAAACACGTACACACGTACACGCGTACACGCGTACACGCGTACACACGTACCTACATACATACAAACATTACATGACATTACATGACATTACATGACATTACATGACATTACATGACATTACATGACATTACATGACATTACATGACATTACATGACAATACATGACAATACATTACAATACATTACAATACATTACAATACATTACAATACATTACAATACATTACAATACATTACAATACATTACAATACATTACAATACATTACAATACATTACAATACATTACAATACATTACAATACATTACAATACATTACAGTACATTACAATACATTACAATACATTACAATACATTACAATACATTACAATACATTACAATACATTACAATACATTACAATACATTACAATACATTACAATACATTACAATACATTACAATACATTACAATACATTACAATACATTACAATACATCACAATACATTACAATACATTACAATACATTACAATACATTACAATACATTACAATACATTACAATAACAAGACAGAACAATACATACATACATACATACATACATACATTACATACATACAATACATACATACATACATACATACATACATACATACATACATACATACATACATACATACATACATACATACATAACAATACATACATACATACATACATACATACATACATACATACATAACAATACATAACAATACATAACAATACATAACAATACATAACAATACATAACAATACATAACAATACATAACAATACATAACAATACATAACAATACATAACAATACATAACAATACATAACAATACATAACAATACAAAACAATACAGAAAAAGAAAGAAAAGCAGACAATACATAACAATACATAACAATACATAACAATACATAACAATACATAACAATACATAACAATACATAACAATACATAACAATACATAACAATACATAACAAATACATAACAATACATACATATACATACATATACATACATATACATACATATACATACATATACATACATATACATACATATACCTACATATACATACATATACATACATATACATACATATACATACATATACATACATATACATACATATACATACATATACATACATATACATACATATACATACATATACATACATATACATACATATACATACATATACATACATCTACATACATATACATACATATACATACATATACATACATATACATACATATACATACATATACATACATATACATACATATACATACATATACATACATATACATACATATACATACATATACATACATATACATACATATACATACATACGTACGTACATACATACATACATACATACTCATACATACATCCATGCATCCATACATACACACATACATACATACATACATACATACATACATACATACACACATACATACATACATACATCCATACATACATACATACACATACATCCATACATCCATACATACATACACATACATACATACATACATCCATGCATACATACATACATACATACATACATACATACTCATACATACATCCATGCATCCATACATCCATACATACATCATACATACATACATACATACATACATACATACATACATACATACATACATACATACATACATACATACATACATACATACATACATACATACATACATACATACATACATACATACATACACATACAAATATATATATTTTTTAATATACAACCCATTTGATCATGTTGTTTGGTCTGAAATGGCCCCCGGACGGGCGAACGACACGTCCTTTGAGTCGTCAGGCCTACTACCGACGTCAGAAGATTTGCTCTGAGGTTCAGCGGATGGGCTAAAAAACATGTTCAGACAGACCTATGATATTTATAAATATATAATATATAAATATAAAATATTAATATTTTTATACTATTGTTACCATATATGTATTAACGTATATTATTACCCTATATATTATGCTATGATATTTACATACATAATGATAAATCATATATATATATGATATTCTAATATAATGTAAGGTAATGTAAGGTAAGGTAATCTCATGCCACGTAATTTGTCCCTGGTTCAGGTCGGCTGTGGAATCTCGTCTTTGGGAAGATGAAAAAACGGGTGTAGCTGACGAAGCACAGGAATCACGCTGTCAAAGCCAACACAAGTTTGGCACTTGTTATCTTCAACTATTCCATGATGTCTATGGTCTTCCCTGGTTTTCTCCAAAGATGTTAGATCAACCTCCCATTTTTCCAATCAAATCCACTTTTGTTCACCATTTTTCTTCATTAAGGATTAAGATCATCAAACATTTTTTCATCATTTTTCTTCATTAAATCGTCCCCTAGCCGGCCATCATTGTGGGCGAAAAAAATCAGCCGTGAAAATCACCGGTCAAATCGGTGGACGAAGGAGGATTTCCTCAAGATGCTTGAGACACTGCGGACGGGCCTTCCAGTACCTCAGACTGGAAAAGTGGGGTTTCACCATCGATGAATGGGGATTGATATGGGATTTCATGGGGATATAGCGGGAATATCATGGGATAGAATGGGATACTTTTTGGTGACGACTAAGAGGTTAAAATAACAGGTAAATCATCGAACTAAATGGTCCATTATCCATAGCGGACTCTGAAATTAGCAGAGGGTTTATACCATTATCTGGAAAGCGGATTCTTTTTTCAGTTTCTTTTTGTGTAATAGTTTTTTTCTTTTGCACGGAACAGAAATCGGACCTTTCCGCCTTTCTTATGGGAGATTATAATCTTTCTTTCTTGGAGAGACGTTGCATTTTTAAAAACTACTTTTCCATCTTATGGTGATTCTCCTTACTAAAATGTGTAGATTCATAGTCGAAACCTCGAAATCGGAAACGGTTGGCACGACCCAGGTGGCAATCCGTGTGAATCGCATGCGTCTGGGTGCAGCATCTCTGAGAGAACGCTTGGAGGAATTGGCCGAGAAGTTCTGTCGCGTTCCCCAGAGGTTTCCGCCTGCGGAGATGGTGGAGAACATTTGTTTTGTTTGTGTTTTTTGAATGGGGACACATGGCTGGTATTTTGGTGTTGTAATTTCGACATGGATGTAGACTTTGAGAATTGTGTGTAATCTGACTAGAT